CACATGCTGAGGGAAAATGTGTAGGGCAGCAGCGGATAGCTCTAATAGGCTATAGCCCCAGTAACTGCCGCAGACTGAACACGGGCTATATAGTACTATAGAGCTATTCAGCGGAGTGACGTTAGAAGGTCATGGCATATATCACACTGTATCTCAAATTACCGACTCGAATGATTCTTTTTCAATTTCATTATCGTTCGAATTTAAAGGAATCACTTGGTTTTGGAAGCGTAATCGTGTTTGGCAGGGGGAATACACCAGATATAATGGTTCAGGAAATGAGTATGTGCGGGTTACAGAGATTGCTGGATGTATTGGCAATGTGCCAGACTCATTAGGTATATATATATAGCACGTAGCATTGTAGCTCCTAGCTGAGATGTGGAGACGACGACTCTGGGCACAATTTTGTCCAATGATATATATAGCAACACCCAACAATAAACATGCGTAGCCTTTTTATAACAGCAGCTGCAACCGCTTGACTCAATGGCATAGAGAGCTAGTCTAAGTTTGTTTGCTAAGTCTAAGTGTTGTTACCTCCGCCCACGGAGTGGAGGGGAGGTTATGTGATCGAGTCTGTGCGTTCGTGTGTTGGTCTGTTAGCGTGTGTGTGTGTTCGCGCAATCGATATTGCTTTCGATATATCGATATATCGATATATCGAGTGAGCTTTCGTTTTGCACGACGGATCGTTCTACGACGGTGAAAACCACACTGGGACCGTCTGCGCATGCTCGAATCTTGCTGTACCATCCGTCCTGAGGATTCTACGACGGTTCTCGGGGTAAATCACCGTCGTGCCGAGAACGACGACGTATAGCCAGGCCGTGCCTGGTGCGCATGCGTCTGGCCATGCGCATGGTCATCGACGGATACTTTGATCCATAGTGCCATTTTGATATATTGTATATTTGTATGACTTGATGACACAATCTTTTGAAGCAAGCGACACAAACCTAACTTATTAATTTATATAGATCTTAAATAATAATATAATGTTAGATAACATGTAGACCTACCTAAAATAGGAGTTACACTCGTCATCGTTGAAATCATCCAGATCAAAAGTCTTATAGTCGAAGTACCTAAAGTCACAATTGGTAGGCTTGTTGACATCATAAAGAAGCGCAAATTCATGTTCATCGATGATATCAAAACAATGACTGAGAAGTAAGCATTCTCTTACCCGGTGAAGATTCGCCATTTTTAAAATACGCGCGATCAAAACAAAAGGTCATGTGATCAAACACAAAAACACACACGCACACGCACACGCACACACACGTACACACGCGCACACTCACACACGCACACGCACAAGCACACGCACACGCACACGCACACGCACACGCACACACACACACACGCACACACACACACACACACAAACGCGCGCGCACACACACACGCACACGCACACACGCGCACACACGCGTACACACTACACACGCACACGTACACTCACACGTACACACGCAAACGAACACACGCATACACACACACTCATGCACACACACTTACACACACACACACGCACACACACACGCACACGCACACACGCGCACACACGCGTACACACTACACACGTACACGTACACTCGCACGTACACACGCAAACGAACACACGCATACACACACACTCACACACACACACTCACACACATACACACGCACACGCACACACGCACATACACACGCGCTGCGACGTCGGTCGCCGATGACTGCCAAGATAATATTCTTCGGCCGTTCTTATACTTTATACTTCATATAATGGCGTCGAATACGCCCGCGTACCCTGAATGTAGATAAATCCAATATATAGATACCAAATATAAATAAACATGTAGAGCATCGGTACGGTAAGGACGATCTGATTGATCCTCCAGTCGGGCACAAGATATGCGATGGGAGGCAGTATAATTAGGCCAAAAGCCCAGAAGTAATTGTCCTGCACGGTGACCCACGCCCGTGCTTGAGGGGCGACGGACTCACATATTAGCGTGAAGCCAACTAGGTACCCTCCCTGAAACAACGCAAGAGGACAACGATGAGTGATAATAAAACGGTAAGCAGTGAGGGTTTAAATTTTCTACCGTGTAAATCCAGCTACCTCCGTGCTACGGGTATATTAAACCGGCGGCCACTGCATTTCATGTTTAATAATGAATATATCGTTCTGCTTTTGTGGAATTTCATACCGTTTCGAACGCAGACATGAGGAAGCGCATGGCGGCAAACATGATGTAGCTGTTAGAGAAGCATTGTACGATCGCCGACGCCAGGAACAACAGGTTTGCTATGATCATGGTCCATTTCCGTCCGTAAATGTCGGCCAGGGCGCAAATGATCAACGAACCGACGAGTTTACCGGCGAAGAAAGAAATCGAGGAAAGATCCACGAGGATGCTTCTGTCGCAGACGATGTCCCACTGCAAGCATCACTGCGGTGTGAATGAGTCGGTACGTTATTCTGCTGAAACCTAGCGCGCAGTCGTGTCAGTGCAGTTAAAACTCTAATTACTCCACGGCTCAACATTTTAACAGCCAATAGGGAACGACTATTTTCAAGAGGCCAGAACTGTGCCAGATTTTTTTTGGTTCATTTACGCCACAACTACGATGCTAGCAGATATGCTTGCAGATATGTATTGCCGACGCTAATAATGTGGCAGCGTAGCATACCTCCGTGACGATGGTGTCTCCATAGGTATCATCATACCAGTAGCCATCCTGGCACTTTATGGTTTCGTTGCTCGTCTCGCTGAAGTTCACGTACTGATTGCACGTGTCTGCTTGCCAGGGCTCGTCTTCGTCATTCCTGATAACAGTTGTGTGACATAAGGTACCGGTATGTCGTTATAAATCCAGATGACCTTCATCCGCTAGTTTGTTTGACATCGTTCGATTAAATTTTACAAGAATGTATACATACAAGAATACTTGTGAGCTAATGGTAATGACAACCAATAGTGGGGCGGCGTGACCCTCCCGGTACAATAAATCACAAGCAGTGGAGCGATCCTGCGGGAGCTATAGCTAGGTTGTCTTCGTCATGAAAATTTCCATAAACATCTAGCATACGTCACCGATAAAATGATATTAACTTGCACAATTAGTTAATAGAGTGATTTGGTTATTGAGTCAAGTTCGTCAACGAAGCTACTCATTAGAGCATTTACATACGAGTTTATACGAAGTTATTTACATACGATACAATATATTCCTTGCGTAACGGCCTAGAAATGTTTATTGTTCTATCATTACATCGATGAATCACCGTAATTTGTTCATTGCTCGCACCGTTATGTAGAATAACGTATGTACTTATCCCCCCAATTTCCTTTCTCCGTCTCTTCCTCTAGAATACATATCTGCATACAGTATGAAACCTATATAGCCCAACAATTTCTATACTTACTTTCCCGGTATGGCATCTGAGATATTTGCTCCTCCTGGCACGCGGCAGTGATGGGTAGGGGTCAACCCATGGTAGTTGATAGAGAATGTTTGCAGGCTGGAAAATATCTGCAGGACGTTTATCAGAAAAAATAAGTGAAAATGCCACTTTCCATATTTTCCGAGTTTGCTCAACGCGTTGTCTAGATTGGAATACATGGAGCTGGGTCGACAGTGCGGCGTTCTGCGGAACACCACTGTAGTCAAAATGCTCTTACAGAAACATGCGTGGCAGTCCCATCCCAATTGCACACCACCGGCCACATGCTGAGGGAAAATGTGTAGGGCAGCAGCGGATAGCTCTAATAGGCTATAGCCCGCGTTCAGTAACTGCCGCAGACTGAACACGGGCTATATAGTACTATAGAGCTATTCAGCGGAGTGACGTTAGAAGGTCATGGCATATATCACACTGTATCTCAAATTACCGACTCGAATGATTCTTTTTCAATTTCATTATCGTTCGAATTTAAAGGAATCACTTGGTTTTGGAAGCGTAATCGTGTTTGGCAGGGGGAATACACCAGATATAATGGTTCAGGAAATGAGTATGTGCGGGTTACAGAGATTGCTGGATGTATTAGCAATGTGCCAGACTCATTAGGTATATATATATAGCACGTAGCATTGTAGCTCCTAGCTGAGATGTGGAGACGACGACTCTGGGCACAATTTTGTCCAATGATATATATAGCAGCACCCAACAATAAACATGCGTAGCCTTTTTATAACAGCAGCTGCAACCGCTTGACTCAATGGCATAGAGAGCTAGTCTAAGTTTGTTTGCTAAGTCTAAGTGTTGTTACCTCCGCCCACGGAGTGGAGGGGAGGTTATGTGATCGAGTCTGTGCGTTCGTGTGTTGGTCTGTTAGCGTGTGTGTGTGTTCGCGCAATCGATATTGCTTTCGATATATCGATATATCGA